CAAGTCCCATCCTTGAGGGGATCATAAACACATCCCCAGAGAACACATCATAGGGCTGTTCTGAAGACCAAGGGTCTTCCTGTGGAGCAGATGGGACACCATCAATCCAGGGACCTGATGTAGATACCATTCTAGGAGGCCTGGCAGCTCATGCACCATTCTGAGTACTCATGTGGGATGAATAGTGTCTGTCTCTTTGAGACAACAGTGAGCTATGCTGATACCTGATAGAAGCAGGCGCGGTCAATACAGCTGCTTAGCATCAAGAGCACTGATAGCCAAGGAAAGGTTTAGGTGCTTTATAGGCCATTCACAGGCGGATTGAGAGAGCAGAGCTCTCTTGAGGTGCCTTGATGCTCAGTAAGTTGAGGACGATATACACAGATATGTAAGGAAGTGAGAGAAGTTGTATCTCCTCAGACAGGATAAGGATATGGACACCAGGACCACACTGCTGAATGGCCTCTTTCTCAGGCTGGATCAGGTCTGGAGCTAAGAAGTTTTCTGCCTCATGAATATGCAAACAACCAGCATCTGCTGAGGTAAATATGGATATATCTGTGCCCCAGAGAATTCCACAGCCATCACCCTCTTCTGAAGAATCCAACAGAGCACAGCTTCTCACCATGGACTGGACCTGGAGAATCCTCTTCTTGGTAGCAGCTGTGAAAAGTAAGGTGACACCCAGTCCTAGGGCTACAGAATGGACCAGAGCCTGTCAGGGATCCTGCATCCAACTCCTGTCTTATCTCCACAGGTGCCCATGGCCAGGGGCAGTTGGTGCAGTCTGGGGCTGAGGTGAGGAGGCCCAAGGAGTCTGTGAAGATCTCCTGCAAGGCTTCTGGCTACACCTTTACAGACTACTACATGCACTGGGTGCGACAGGGCCCTGGACAGGGTCTGGAGTGGATTGGTGGAATCGATCCAGAGGATGGAAATACTGAATATGCTCAGAAGTTCCAGGACAGGGTCAGCCTCACTGCAGACACCTCTTCCAGCACAGCCTACATGGAGCTGAGCGGTCTGAAGTCTGAGGACACAGCCGTGTATTACTGTGAGAGACACAGTGTGGTGACCACATCCTGAGTCTGTCAGAAATCCTGAGGCAGGAGCAGCTGCCTTCGGGGTGAGAGTTAAAGACTGGAGTGAAGTAACTAAGGATAGGAATGATACAAATGTGCACGCACTCTAATTTTATAGGGAAACAGCCATACCACAGACAGCCTATATGCAAACTATAAGACTCAGAGAAATTTTTGTGCAGACATACATTTCCAATCAATTGGAGAAGTAACTAAAAACAAAGTTCTTCTACCTTATGGCAATGTCCTGTTTAACTTGTGAAAAGTGGCGAGACTGTCTCCCAGAATGCCTTGGCTATTTCTGTTCAGCAGATTCTACTTATGCTGCAGGTTTATGTTCACAAAATGTGAAGGAGAGAGTTCAGAGGTTTCCCCTGAGTCTCTGCCCCGTACGCACAACCTGTCCCAGCAGCACCCTCACTGTGGTCCTCTGTGTTCCGGGACTGGACTCTCAGTGACACAGCATCATCTCCCAGTCGTGGCTCTCCACGGGGTCCCTCCTTGGCCTTGTGCATTCTGCGTGTTTGGACAAATGTCTGATGTCGTGTCTCCCCCACATTACCATGTGTGTCGCACACATTTGAGTGAATTTCAGGAGCAGGACAGACGGATCCTGAGGTTCAGTGGGGCCTGCACACAGACAAGGGGAGGCGGCTCTGACGGGAGGAGCCCTCACAGCTGAGCACGAGTGGGGAGTCCAGGAGGCATCCGGTGGGGAGAGCGGAGGGGATGAGGCCGAGGGCAGCATCCTCATGCCGTGTGAGCACAGAGGTTCTCAGCTCAGCCGGGTGAACCCCTCAGATGCTGTCTTCACCTCCATGAGGAATCCCCAGGTGTCTTCCCCAGTGGAGGAGCCATTCGGCTTTCTCAGCAGCAGGGAATAAGAATCCTCTTTCCCTTAGTCTCCTCAGGATATTTTGGGTGAATATTTTGTTCTTAGCTTTTCTAAATGATTGGTATTTCACGATCATAGAAATGCATATTTCCCTAAGACTCATGTAAAATATTTTTCAGGAGCCCTCGGTAAGCTCTTCCATTTATATCCTTATTGCATTTTTAAGTCTTTTAAAATTCTGTCTTAAAAGGCTTTGGTAATTTTTTTAACAAGGCCTTTAAGCAATATGCAATTATTACATGTCTTTTTTTTTTTGCATCTGTGGCTTTTCTGAGAGTCATGTTTCCTGAGCGCTGAGCACCCTGAGAACCAAGGACATGGATATGCATCAGTATAAAATAGACACAGTGGGGGACTTCAGTGTGAGTTTGGATGCAAACCTCCCTGCAGTGAGGACCTAGGCAGTGGAGCCAGGTACAGCACCTGACCCTTGGAGGGCTCAGGCACAATCCTCCACCCAGGGTCAGTCTCCAAAACAGAGACCTCCTGTGTCTCCCTCACACCTTCATATGCAAGAGCACATCCCACATGCAAACACAGCAGGAGACACTCAGATCTCAGATGAAGTCACATTACACGATTGCTTAAATTTAGGTGCTTCCTCACAATTTAATATATGTTCTGAAAAATCTACTGCTAATGTGAAAGAAAATGGAACAACACTGGCTCCTCCTCTTTCTGGCGGCAGCTCCCA